TTTGTTGTTATTTTATTGATTTCAATCCTAATCTTTTTCCCCTTGCTTTCTACTCTTTTTGACTGTTATTTCTTATTTTTGTTATAGTGCTTTCAGGTATGTTTTTAAGCTTCTGTGAGACTTCTCCTAGTTTTATTATGTTGACCTTTTCTTAGGTTACTATTGTTTTGATGAAATACCTAACCAAAAGAAAACTGGGGAGAAAAGATCTTAGTTATCCTACGCTTCCAAATCATTGTTCATCACTGAAGGAAGTCAGGACAGAAACTTGGGGACAGGTACTGGTGTAGAGGCATGGAGGGGAGCTGTTTACTGGCTTTTCAGCCCCCTTTCCTCATCCCAGGGCCACCAGCTCACAAATGGGATTGTGTCCCATGCCCTACCCCTGACACCCCAGTATTAGTTGAGAAAATACCTACAGGCAGATGTTATGGAGCCATTTTTCAACAGAGGCTTTCTTCCAAATGACTGTCACTGTGCCAAGTGTCAGAGCAGGTACTTAGGACTCTAAACTTTCCTCTTAGAACTGTTTTTATTGTTTCTAATGGATTTTAGTATATTTTGATATTCTTTTCATTTCTGCTTTTAATTTCCTTATTTATTTTTTTCTTGACTTTATTCTGTAGTGAGTCAGTTTCCATGAGTTTGGTCGTTTTTTTTTTTGTTTTTTTTTTTTTTGTTACTGTTGACATTGATATCCGGCTTAAGCCACAGTCAGACAGGATTTCGGAGTGTTATTTCATTCTTCTTGTATCTGTTGCTTTGTGTCCAGATATGTGGTTAATTTGGGGAAAACTTTCGTGATACACTGAGAACAATATACATGTGTGTGTACTGTATAACTGGTATTTGAATGAATTGTTCTATAAATATCTGCTAAATCTTTATGGTGTTATTTAACTCCAGGATTTCTCTGTTTAGTTTTTGTTTGAGAGACATGTTTATTGCTGAGATTGGCATTTTGAAGTCATGCTCTATCACTGCATGAAACTCAATGTGTGGTTTAAAATGTAGTAGTGTTTCTTTTATGAACTTGGGTGCCCTTATGTTTGATGCATAGATGGTAAGAATTGCAGTATCCTCTTGATTTTTTTCCTTTGAATCTGTTGTGTCCTTTTGCATCTCTTCGATTAAGTTTTGTTTGAAGTCTATTTTGTTAGATATTGAAATGGTTGCAGCAACTTGTTTCATGGACTAAATTCATTGGAATAAATTTTCTTTTATTCTAATGTGATCTCTCACCTTTCAAGTAAGATGCATTTCTTTGATGCAGTAAAAACATGTATCTTATTTGCTAATCCACTCTCTTAGTGTGTGTCTTTTTATTTGGAAATTGAGATCATTAATACTGAGTTATCAAGGAGCAGTACTAACTGATTCTGGTATTTTACTGTTATGACTTTTGTTTCTTTTTACCTCATTTAATATTCTGATAAGAAATTATTTATTCTTTCTGTTTTTTTGTCAGTGAGAACTTCAGGTTTTCTTCTAGTGCTTTCTGTATGGTTAAATTTGGAATATAGAACAACCATGCAGACCCTCTGCTTCTTACGAGTCTTCATTGACAAGTCAGGTGTTATTCTGATAGGTCTGCATTTATATGTTACTTTTCCTTTTTACTTTAACCTTTGAACATTCTTTGTTCTGTACATTTGGTGTTTAAATTATTATGTACTGTGGAGAATTTTTTCTGGCCCTTTATTCTTGTACCCTGAAAGGCAACTTTATTTTCAAATCAGAAAATTTTTCTTCTGTGATTTTCATGAAAATGTTTTCTGTACTTTTGATCTGGGTTTCTTCTGTTTTTTCTGTTGTTTGTAAATTGGGTCTTTTGTGGTATCTCAGATTTTCTGTATGTTTTATGCCTGAATATATTTATACTTAACATTTTCCTTGGCTGTTGTTTCTGTTTCTTCTTACCTTTCTTCAGTGCCTTAGATTCTGTCTTCCATGTTTTGTTCTGTGTTGGAGAGGCTTTCCTCTGAAGTTTTTGTCTGCCTTCCAAATTTTAATTATTAGTTTTATTTCAGTTTGCCTTGCCTTCATTGATTCTGCTTCTACTTTCTTGTCTTGAACTATATTCATTATTTCATCCCATTGTGTTTTCACAGACTTTATTAAGGGAATGATTCTTATCACCTTTAAGGTTCTTGTACATGTTCATAATTGTACATGTTCATAATTCTCCCTTCTTTTTTCCTTTTTTCCTTTCTTTTTTCTTTCTTCTCCTCTTACTCTTCCTCCTTTTTCCTTTTTTTTCTTCCAAGAGTTTCTTTGTACAGTACTAGCTGTCATAGAACTAGATTTGTAGACCAGATGGGCCTTGAACTCACAAAGATCTGCCACTTGTCCCTGCCTCCTGGAGTGCTAGGATTAAAGATGTGTTCCACTATCCTCAACTCATAATTTTTATTTTGAAATTCATATCTTATGCTTCAACTATAACTGGACTACATTTAACTATACAATGGTAGTGCATTTTAATGCCCTGTTATAGTACTAGGTTTTTGATGGACGCATGTTCTCTTGAGTGTTAATATGTCCTTTTGTGATGTTGTGTAGACATCTGGGTTTGGATTGATTTAGTTGATTCTAGGTGTTGATACCTGCTCCTGTCTTTGTTAGTGGATTTGTACCTTGTTTTCTTTCTGGACCTTAACAACATATGGTGGCTGTGTAATACCTGGTAGAGAGTACTTTTCCAGGTTAGTGGATAACAGAGGGAAATAAAGATGGGCTAAGATAAAAGGCTGAGATAAATTTTGGGAAGGAACTTAGAGGATTGTACAAATTGGCTCTTAAAGACAAAAGAATAATTCAGAAAGATGAGTTGAAAGGGCTAGGTAGACCCTATCATTTATAAAGAGTGTATTCTCCAGTGAATGCAGTTGATATGGGAGGAATGGCACCTGTAAACTTGGTGTTACTTGACTGAGGTGAGAATGAGGAAGTCATAGTGGAGGACAGGGAGGATTGGGTCTTTGCCAAGTTGACCATGGAGTTACTGTTTCTGTAAAATGAGAGCTCTAATACACATAGAATTTTTAGGTATTGTGTTTCTAGGTATTGGAGTTTGACCCAAAGGAATGGGACTGGACTAGAAGGGAGGGCTGAGAATGTCCACAGGAAAGAGAATGGAAGTAGAGTGGGAAGGATCCCCTTCAGACTGTCTACTCCAGGGTTGGAGATGAGACTAGATATTGCAGTGGTGTACAGAAAGGAGAGTAAGAATTCTGCATCCTCTTCTGTTTTTCCACAGATAAATTCTTTTCTCCCATTAAAGAACTTATAAAAGCAAATTCAAATGACCAGTGCCATAGAAAGGTTCTCAGTGGATTGCTTGAACAAGCAAGGCAACATATGCATTAAAACCTTGTAGCATATTTCTTTTGAAAAGAAACAGTTAGACAAGTGAAAGTTTACTGTTTTTCTTAGTCTGTTACCACAAACCTACTTGAGTATAAAGAGCCCTCAAAATGCTAACAAAGTTCCTTCTGAAAAGTAGACTATTTTGGATCTTTTTTTCCTATGATTTCATTTCTAATGTCTAGTCAGGAAGTGAAGGTTTCCAAGATAGTCTGGAAAAAGGCCATGTATGTATTTCAAAGCCAATGTAATTCTCTCTGCTTTATAATCAGATTCTGTTCCCATTACTGGTTCATCCCTCCTGATCATAAAAATGTTCACATTTTTATTTTTCTATATTCTTTATGTTTCGATAAATTCAGAGCTCTGGTGCAGATTTAATCCTTTTCCCACTGAACAGCTAAGAACCATGGAAGTTATTTCAAGCATTATTATGGTTTTTACATTTATAGAATAATAACATACTTGCATTGTAGATAAATTACGTGTTAAAACAGAGGTAATATCAGAATGTTTGCTTCATTTCATTAGTATACATTTGTCCCAGATAGATGTCCTTGGTCTCCACTGGAGTTTCTAAAAATTTAATTTTATCTTTCTCATCTGTTATAATCATTGATGCATTCCTGTAATCTAAGATTAATAAATTAGCATGGTCATTATTTTTTAATCATAGTAGATACTTTAGTTTTTGTCAGAATGACTTTCAGGGGAGCTTGATAGGTTCATTCGCATTTGATTGGAGTTTTCATATATTCTGTCACTGTATAGCTATGGATAACTTAGAACTTGCTGTGTAGATCAATCTGGAATTGAGCTCCCAGATAGCAGCCTACAACTATCTCCTGAGTGCTGGTAATAAAGATATGTCACCATGCCTACCCCTTTAGAATTTTTACTATGCATTTTTTCTTTTAATAGACACTAGAGACATATGTGATGCTGTTAATAAAAGAAATCCATACTGTTGATTTTATTCTTAAGAAAAAGAAAGTATTTCAGTCTGTCTTAGGTCTAGTTAGTAATGCATGTGTCAATAATCATAACAGGAAGAATAACATTAAAATATTTGATCCATGCTTAATGCTCATACCCTTGTGACAAATATAATTATGGTAATTTCATAAAATTTAATGCCTTTTCTTACTGTACCTTTTGGAGTGAATGAAATAATACCATATTTTACACTAAATATTTTATATAAATTTCCAAATTATAATAGCAGAATAAAATGTGGTGGGAAGTATAACTGTGCACAGAAGGAAAGAATTATTACAGAGAAAAATGATTTTTATAACATTTGACAATTAGGCAGATTAAAGTTCAAGTCTTTTTTTCTCAACACTCTGGTGGTAAAGGCAAGCCTCTCTCTAGTCTATACGTCTTGAATTCGTTGTCAGCAAGGGCTGCATAGCAAGACCTTCACTCAGAAAACAAAAATTTAAAAAAAAAACACTTGGCAGTTTATATTTTGACAAATTAAAAATCTTTGGCTTTCTGTCTACACATAGAAATATTATGAAGTATTACATCTTACTTATTAAGTAAAGTGATTATTTCTGTATTTTTGCTAAATTCAGCAGTGGATGCATGTAATTTCATGGTATTTTTTTCACGGTATTTTTAATATGCAGATTATGAAGACTATGACCCACAAACTGTAAGACTAGGAAGTAGATACAGTCATATTCAAGAAGTCCAAGAACGACTTAATTTCCTCAGGTTTGTTTTGATCAATACTGCTGTTCTCGTTAATGCACAGATAAAAGATTTCAATTTGCTAAATCTTCATTAGGTGACTAGCTGGCTACCATAGCAATATATTGTCCCCCCAAAAGGACATTTTCAAAGTTTGCATATCATTTTGCTTTATAGTCATTATTATTAAGTACTTTTTAATATGTAGTATATATGTGCCTATGATTAGAGTCCAGTAAGCCTTCTCCATTACTCTGACCTTTTTGCTTTTTGTTTTTCTTAGGGATTTTACTAAACATTTCTTTTTTATCTGAGATCTGTCTGTGTCTGTTCCCCCACTAACAGTGTTACAGGCCTGAATCATTACATTTAACATTTGGTCCACACATAGACCCTGATGTATGTACACAAAATGCTTTACCTATTGATCCTCCTCCCTATGCCATAAATGTTCATAAGATTCTTTGTGGTAATTTAGCTTAACATTTTAAAATTAAAAAACAGGTTTAAATTTTGATTTAAATTTTAAATATCAGAATACATCTGATTTCTTATGTGTGGGAAATTGGTTTATTGTTTTAAAATATTTTAAAATGACATGGTAAGGCCCTATTTTGAATAATGCTAAAAAACACTTATTAGGTTTACTTTGACTTTATTAAAAGTGTTTGCTTTTCTGTCTATACATAGAAACTATATGAACACTACCTTTTAGTAAGGTACTAAGCATCAGAAAAATGAATTAAAAATATCAGCTCTATAAAGTTAAGAATCAGAAGACATTCCTTTGTGGCAGCTCTATAAACTGTTAACAGTATAATTAATTCAAAAGAAAATAAACTAAGAGTTAATGCCTTTTATTGATGTGTCATCATAGCAACTTTGTAAGGCAGGTGTTGCTTATTTTGATTTTTAAGAAAATGTAATACTCATTGAGAAATACTCAGAATAGGTTAAGAATTTAAGGAAGTGTTTAGTAAACTTTTAAAATAATGATTATCATTATTTTTTAGTCTTGAAACTAAAAATGTTCTTCTCGGCTAATTAAATTTTGAGCATAAAAGGATAATCATAGAAATAAATTAAAATTATAGGTAAATAATTTTGTTTAATATGACTGAGTAGTGGCTAAAGAATTTCAACAATGTAAAGATTGCTAAAATAGCTTTAATTTTTTTCTTCTGACACAGTTTCTTTGTGTAACCATGGCTGTCCTGGAACTCCTTCTGTAGACCAGGCTGTCCTCATACTCACAGAGATCCGCCTGCCTCTGCCTCGCAAGTGCTGGGATTAAAGGTGCACCCTGACTGTCATGCGTTAAAGCCGATTTAAGTCATAAGAACTATTTGTTGTTAAACTCAAACCTACATCAGTTTAGGTATCTAACTTGTTTCAAAAGCTGTAATATTTTAAAATAAAGCAAAAGTCTTTTTGAGTCATGTAGATAGGTAAAGTTTCTGGTTGCGTTCATTAAATATGTGGAAAAAAATAGAATGTAAGTTTAGATGTATTACTTTTAAAGAATGTATGGTCTTCAAGATATTTTACTATGTGTTCTGTGTGTCAAAACAGTGTACTGATGAGAATAAAATCATTTTGAACCTAATTAGTTTCTTATGTGTTTTTCAAGATTTTTACTGAAGGATGGTCAACTTTGGCTCTATGCTCTCCAAGCCAAACAAATATGGAACTGCTTAGCAAAGAATGCAGTTTTCTTTAGTGATCGAGAAGCCTGTTTTATGTGGTTTTCCACGTTAATGGGCGACGATCCAGACCTAGATCCTGATATTATTCAGGATTTTTTTGAAAGTAATGTGCTTCAACTTGATCCGACTCTATTAACCGAAAGTGGAATAACGTGTTTTGAAAGATTTTTCAAGGCTGTCAATTGTCAAGAAGGGAAATTAATGATAAAAAGAAGAGTCTATATGATGGATGATTTAGACCTAATAGGATTAGATTACCTTTGGGAGGTAAGTAAAAGAGGAGAAATTATGGCAAAAGTATCTAAAGTAGTTTTTTACAATTGCAGATGTTTTTATAGATTTTCTTCTGTATATTTATACGGATTGGATATATGTCCTAGAAATTAAAGGACTTAGTTTATGTCTGACACAGGTGATTCTTTGGCATTCACATTAAATATATTCTTTTCAAAGGTTTCATGTAAATGTAACTTTCCTCGCAAACATATTTTGCCTGTTGTCATCCATGAAAGTTAGTCTCTCCGGTTTTTATATAAGATGGATACATATTTAAGTACCATAATTAATGATAGAGCAGAAAAATGATTTAATAGGAAATGTGAATAATAAAACCTTTATATAAATTGTTTCACTTGAAATCAATAGTAAGTATCTGAAAAATGTTTTATGCTCTAATGCTGACTTTGCAATTTTGATATAGTGTATTTATTTCAGTCTTAGACTCTCTTATTGTAGCTTAGTTTCATTGGGGATTTAATCACTCATTTCTTAAGCAAATTTTAAATATAGTCATGTTTTTAAGGATCGTTCATACATTCGGGTTAATTGTTTAAATTTTCTTCTGACTGCAATCTGCAAATGGAACCTAATGATAAAAAGGAAAAGAAAGTGAGGAAAGAAAATCAGAACATGTTTTTGCTCTTTTCCTTTTCCAATTTTTATTTATAATTCATGAAAAAAAATCTCTGAAGCCAGGGAATCTACAGTATATTTTAATAAAGTCATTTTTAATAAATAATATCAGAAATTCTGGGAGTGAGTTTTCTGTAGTGACTTATTGATAACTTGAAATGTCTTAGTTCAGCAACAAAATTGCCAGTATAATACTATTGTAATTTTTCTAATTGTATCATCTGAAAATCTTTTGTGTTATTTCCTTTTTTAAACTTGAATTTATATCACATTAATGTAAGCTTTTATTTATTGGAAAGGAGAATATTCTAAATGGCAAGTTACATCTTAAATGGTATTTATTTTATTATTTTAAAAATTAGGTTGTGATAAAGAGTAATGACAATATTTCGAACAGAGCAATAGATCTTCTAAAAGAAATACACACAAATCTCGGTCCCAGATTACAGGCAAATAAGGTAAGGATTGAAGTACTGAAAGAACTTCACAGATTAAAATAGCATTAGTAATAATACCATTTTAAACTTAAAATGAATTAGGAATTGGTTATTTTATTTGTACAATATTAACTAAAGACATATTTCTACGGTTGTTTTTGTTGCTTTTTTATTTTGTTTTTGTTTTGGGGAATTGCTTTGGTGAGAGAAAGATTCACATAATGTATGTAGCCCAGACTGGTCTGGAATTACTGAATTCATGGTATTCCTCTTTTCTCAGCCTTCTGGATCCCGGGACTGTAGTCATATGAACGAACCCTAGCTTCTTTTTTTATTATTATTTTTAACTATACATTTTATTTTTGTGCTTTTTTCTGTGTGTGTATATGTATACATGCATGATTCTCAGTGTGAGTGTGAAAGAAAGATTCAGTTTTTTAATGAGAATATTAATGTGTTCCCTACTTTGTTTCATATTAAGGCTTTTTTAAAAAAAAACAACTTGTATTTATTGTGATTAGTTATAATTGTAATTGAGAATTGCTTTTAAGTAATTTTTTTTTTTGCTTTTTGTTGTCATGTTTGGTGATTTTTTTTTACAAGCAACTATTGTATTGTTTTCTGTTTGACACATTTGCAGGTAGCTATCCATGAAGATTTTATTCAGACATGCTTTGATCGCTTGAAAGCCTCATATGGCATGTTGTGTGTTTTGGATAGTGAAAAAGACACTATTAGTTGTACAAGACAGGAAGCCATTCAGATGGTTCGTGTACTAACGGTTTTAAGAGAGTACATAAGTGAATGTGACAGTGATTATCATGGGGAACGAATTATTCTTCCTTTGTCAAGGTTTGTAAACTTGATCTAAGAGTAACTTGCAACTAATATTTTCTTACAGTATTATTTAGCAAAATGTGAATGCCATTTACATTTTAATGTATTTTACTTTTTTAAAAGTGTGAACTTTGAGGAAATATTTTATATCTAGTTATAGTCTAATAAAACACTCATCCCTTAACTAGAATTTTTTTATTTTGTTTTTCCAAGTTGTTACTACCTGTTAAGTGTAACAGTTAATCTATTTTGAAGTTCATTCCTCACTACTCCCCCATGTTTTTGTGATACAGACTGCTGTTTGCTTGGCTAGTCTTTAACTCTATAATGTAGTTAAGGCCAGCTATAAACTGATTCCAGAGTGCGTTGACTACAATCATGGGACCTTCATTTGATGGGATATTATATTGTCAAAAGTCTCTTCTGTTTTTATCCTTTTATTGAAAATATTTTTTTTCACATAATATATTCTGATATGAGTGTTTCCTACCTCTGCTCTTGGTTCTGCACCTCACAATCCATCGCGATTCATTAAGAAAGAAAGAGGTCTCTAAGAGATAATAATACAATACATTATGATAAACTAAACAAAACCAACACATCAGGATTGAACAAAAGAAACAGAAGGAAACTAACCCAGGAAGATAAAAGAAGCAGAGACAGATTCATACATACTCTTACTTGTTAATCCCACAAAATAATGTAAAGGACATAGTGCACACCACCGCAGGCCCTGTAAAATGCTGCTCCACTCTTGAGTTCATTTGAACTTTGATCATGTTGATTTAGAGGTCCTTGTTCTGGTATCCTCCTTCCCCTCTGACTCTTAACACTTCCCATCTCCTTTTCCTAGGAGATACCTGTGGAAAAAAGCTTTTCACATTATATAGGCTGCCTCTTTGATCAAATGACAGTGCCCCTGGCTGTGTAGAAGCTTCTCAGCTTCAGAGGTCCCATTTATTAATTGTTGATCTCAAGAGTCTGCGTTAACAGTGTTCTTTCTGTTCAGGAAGCCTTTTTTTGTGTGCCATGAGTTCAAGGCTATACCCCCATTTTCTCTTCTTTGAGGTTCAGGGAATACAGTTTAATCTTTCATCTTTTTGAAGTTTGAGTTTTGTTCATGGTGTTATGTATGGATCTATTTGCATTCTTTTGCATGCAGCCATTCAGTTCCATCAGCACTCTTTGTTGAAGGTGCAGTTTGTTTGGTTTTTTTTCTAGTGTATGTTTCTAGCTTCTTTATTAAAAATCAGGTGTCTGTGGGTTTTTTCATTCTCATGTTGGCCTTCGGTTTGATCCACTGGTCAACGTATATGTTTTGTGCAAATGCCTTTTCATTTTTTATTACTTATAAGTCTGTAATAAACATGAAATCTGGGATGGTGATAGCTCAGGCAGTTCTTTCTTATTTTACTAAATAAAAAGCTGTCTTTTTTTTTTTTCATTTTACCTAACAATCCAAGTTTCCACTTTTCAGAGAGGGTAAGACGCATTGTTTTGAGGAAGAACATAGGAATTCCACTACTGTATCTAGATTGAAAAAGGTCTCCCTCCTATGAGAATGGGTTCCAAACAAACAGTTCAAACAATAGGGATAAATTCTGGTCCCACTGTCACTGATCCTACAGTCTGCCCCATCCATAAAACAGTCACCCACATTCTGAAGGCCTAGTTTTGTTGTATGCTGGTGCCTTCCCTGTTCTGAGCAGAATGGGTGAGCTCTCATTAAGTTAGGTAAGCAGTTTCACTGGTTATTCCACTCATGGTCTTGACCTTTTTGCTCATATTCACACTCCTTCTGCTCTTCAGCTGGACTTTGGGAGCTCAGCCCAGTGCTCTGCTGTGGTTCTCCTCATCTGCTCCCATCAGTTGCTGGATGGAAGTTCTATGGTGACATTTATGACATTTAAGATCATCATTAATCTGACTACAAGGCAAGGCCAGTTCAGGCACCCTCTTCAATAATGCACAGGGTCTTACCTGGGATCATTCTTGTGGATCCTGGAATCTAGTGCTAGTTTTCTTGCTATCCCCATAATGACTCCCTCAATTAAGATATCTCTTACCTTGCCCTCTGTCTCTTTCCTTCCCCCATCTTGACTATTCAGTTCCCTCAAAATCTTCTTCCCATTCCCTTTCTCTCCTCCTTCCCTTCTGCCTTCCACTTTTTCTCCCATCCCCATGCTTTCAGTTTTCTCAGATCTTGTTTATTTCTCCTTCCCAGGCCAGGAGCAGGGCCAGGGGTTTTATTGAGGTACTGAAGGCTTACAGAGTGGGATGTCCAGCTGTGTGTGAGTGATTACTCACTTTTTGGTCCTCTCTCTTGGCAGTTCTTTTATTACTCAGAATTATCATAACTTCCTGGGATTTTTATGTTTCCTTTTGAGGATTATCTTTTCCATATTTGTGAAGAATTATTTTGGAATTTTGATGGGATTACATTAAATCTGTAGATTGCTTTTTACACTGTTATCTTCTGGATCCATGCACATGAGAGATCTTTCCATCTCCTGATATCTTTTTCAGTTTCTTTCTTCAATGTCTTTTAAGTTTTTATCATACAAATTTTTACTTGCTTGGTTAAGTGCTACCCTAGAATATTTTATGTTCACAAGGCTGTTGTGAAAGATGCTGGAGATCTGTTTTTGGATGAGCTGAAGATGGGGATTATTAGAGGGATGATGGATTATATTTGGAGGAAGTGAGCGAAGGGTCCTTTAGGTAATTAATCTACCTTCTTCACTGGATTGAGTTTAAAAGTCTAATCTTAAAAATGCTTATTCAGACTTCAGTGTTTGTCATATTTTAATAATCATAAATGTCGCTCTGCAGGGCCTCTACTCCCCGGGTGCTGCCTCTTTCTTCCTGGCCCACCCAGCTTCCGTCCAGAGCCCTCCCCACTTCGCCCCCACTGCCCTCTTTTGGCGCGTGGCATCGCCCAGCCCAGCCTATCTGGGCGCTGAGTCCCAGTACCCGGGGCTCCCAGGGGGGCAGCAGTTCCTTTGTTTCTGTGGCCTGCCTGCACCAAGCGGGGTAGGCGCTTTGTCTGCGAGCTGCCCAACCAGCACGGAGGCCTGATCTTTCGGCGCCAGGAGACCCAGCATTGGGGTGAGTTTCTGGCCCACGGCGCCAGCCTGGGACGGGGAGCTCGGGGGTTTCTTGGCCCCCTGTCCTGCTTGGGCTCTCTGCTGCCTCTTTCTTCCTGGCCCACCCAGCTTCAGTCCAGAGCCCTTCCCACTTCGCCCCCACTGCCCTCTTTTGGCGCGTGGCATCGCCCAGCGCAGCCTATCTGGGCGCTGGGTCCGAGTACCCGGGGCTCCCGGGCGGGCAGCAGTTCCTTTGTTTCTGTGGCCTGCCTGCACCAAGCGGGGTAGGCGCTTTGTCTGCGAGCTGCCCAACCAGCACGGAGGCCTGATCTTTCGGCGCCAGGAGACCCAGCATTGGGGTGAGTTTCTGGCCCACGGCGCCAGCCTGGGACGGGGAGCTCGGGGGTTTCTTGGCCCCCTGTCCTGCTTGGGCTCTCTGCAGGGCCTCTACTCCCCGGGTGCTTCCTCTTTCTTCCTGGCCCACCCAGCTTCCGTCCAGAGCCCTCCCCACTTCGCCCCCACTGCCCTCTTTAGGCGCGTGGCATCGCCCAGCCCAGCCCATCTGGGCGCTGGGTCCGAGTATCCGGGGCTCCCGGGCGGGCAGCAGTTCCGTTGTTTCTGTGGCCTGCCTGCACCAAGCGGGGTAGGCGCTTTGTCTGCGAGCTGCCCAACCAGCACGGAGGCCTGATCTTTTGGCGCCAGGAGACCCAGCATTGGGAGAGCCAACATTGGGGAGAGACAGCGTTTGGTAGGCAAGGAGACCTAATCCGGTAAAAGAAGATCCATAGGGAGCATTTGGAAGAAGAGATGGGCCGACCTCAAGGCAAGAATTCGCCCAACAAGCTGAAAAGCAACATGAAGCTACCAGAAACAAGCGACCTCACAACGGGAGGACAAGAACCCCTTAATCAAGAGGAAGGAGAAAAGATTGACTTCATGAAAGTGATTGACACCCTTAAACAGCATGTAAAAAACGCCCTTATAGAAATGGATGAGAAATATAACAGAAAGTTTGAAGAATTGAATAAATCAGTGAATGATACCCTAGAAAACCAAGGAAAAACAATCAAACAGATAATGGAAACAGTTCAAGACCTGAAAACTGAAATGGAGGCAAAGAAGAAAACACAAACAGAGGGCCGTCTGGACATGGAAAATCTAGGTAAACGAATAGAGACTACAGAAACAAGCATAACCAGCAGAATACAAGAGATAGAAGAAAGACTCTCGGATTCTGAAGATACCATAGAGAAAATAAACACACTGATCAAAGAAAACAGCAAGTCCAACAAACTCTCATCACAAAACATTCAGGAAATATGGGACACAATAAAAAGACCAAACCTAAGAATAATAGGAGTAGAAGAAGGAGAAGAAGGGCAGATCAATGGTCCAGAAAATCTATTTAATAAAATTATAGAAGAAAACTTTCCCAACCTAAGGAAAGATTTTCCTATGAAGGTGCAAGAAGCATACAGAACACCGAATAGGCTGGATCAAAAAAAAACATCCCCTCGCCATATAATTATCAAAACACAAAGCATACAGAATAAGGAAAGAATATTAAGAGCTGCAAAGGAAAAAGGCCAAATTACTTATAAAGGTAAATCTATCAGACTTACACCTGACTTCTCCATGGAAACCATGAAAGCCAGAAGGTCCTGGATAGATGTACTGCAGAAACTGAGAGACCATGGGTGCAAGCCCAGATTACTATACCCAGCCAAGCTTTCATTCACTATAAATGGAGAAAATAAAATTTTCCAGGATAAAAACAAATTTAAGCAATACGCAGCCACAAATCCAGCCTTACAGAAAGTAATTGAAGGAAAATCACTAACCAAGGAGTCCAACACTGACCACAATAACTCAGACATCTAGAGACCCTTCACCAACACAAAACAAAGAAGGGAAACACACAAAGTCTAC